AACAAGGTTTTTAATTTCGAATAAAACTACCTATACCGGGCAATACGTACCGGTCCGTACACGTATCGCCTGGTATCGGGCGGTACCTTTAATTGGGGATGTTTCCGCGCCGTTATTGTCTTAAATCGGGCGGTGACCAAGGGAGAAGAAAGAAGAGGGAGAAGGGGAAGAAAGAATAGGGAGAAGAAGAGGAGAACCTGGAGATCGGCGTTGCTCTCCCTCCTCGTATGTCGGCGACTTCTCATCCGTGTGGGAGAAGAGTCCTCGGCGTTCCTCGGCGCCGCGAGGAGAAGAGAGGTGACGTCGCAGCGAAAACATATATATATATATATATATATATATATATATATATATATATATATATATATATACATACCGAGTAGTATATTGAAATATACCGCTTGGTATATAGTACCATACAATACTGAGCAAATCTCGAAACTCCGGTATGATATGAAATTTCAATCCTTGGTTAAAAATATGAAAGATTTGACCTTGGTTGAAGATACCAACAATATAGGAATGAACCGTGGTTTTGCGTTTCTGGATTTCTCATCATGCTCTAAAGCAATGGATGATTATATGTGCTTGCAGAAGATAGATGTAATATTTGGAGTTGATAGCATTGCTAAGATTGCCCTTGCAGATTCTTTTATTGAGCCAGATGATGAAATCATGGCATAGGTTAAAACTATTTTTATTGATGGATTGCCTGCTGTATGGGATGAGGATCTTGTAAAGGATTACCTGAAGAAATATGACATAATCGAGAAAGTAGAGCTTGCTCGTAATATGCCAGCTGCAAAGAGGAAAGATTTTGGATTTGTTACTTTTGACACCCATGATAATGTTGTTGCATGTGCTGAAGGCATCAATAATGCTGAACTCTTGGAAGGTAATGACGAGGTTAAAGTTAGAGCTAGATTATCAAGACAAGTGAATAAATGACTAATATACTCACAAAATATCTTAAATTTGAAATATTTCAACATCTTCGAAAGAAACTTGGCATGTTAGATGAAACAAGTTTAAGGGGGGAGAATGTTAGAAGTAAACTTGTCAAGGTATCATAAAGAGGTTCATTGTATCAAGAGATGAAACGCATTAAATGCTTATAGAAGGATAAACCAAATCGACTATTGGTTCTTAAAAAAGTCATTTGGAAAAGAGTGATTCATATTAAATGTAATGAATGTAATGTATCTATGAGGACTATATAAACCCATGTGTTGGGTCATGAAATATAGAGAGTTTTTGAAGATATAGAGAGTTTTTGGAATTATAGAGAGTTTTCGAGTGAAACTTTGAATATTTTGTCTTATCCTACTCTTCCTTTGTGTGATAGCTCTATCTCTTCTCCCTATCTAGTTCAACATTACTCCTTTTAGCTTTTCTACTTTCTTATTGTTTAATATAATTCATTGTTTTGATGCAATAACTTCATTTTTATGGAAACTTTGTTGCCCTAGAACACCCTGTGTGATAGCTGTCACCAAGACTTGTGATTATGTTCGAGCCTTTCCTTCATCAGATTCATGATTCACTATCATAATTCCTTTTCTTCATTTTGTTAGTTAGTCCTGCCTTCCAACCTGGATGGAGAATGATCAAATCGGAAAGTTTGTCTAGTGACACGTCATGGAACCAGTATTTACTTATCTGTTTGATCTTTTCAATATTAGCTATGTCTTAATTTACCTAAATATTTCCAGATATTTGCATTGTGCTCCTCCAAATTCTGATTGCATCTTATACACATTCAACAGATGTTGTGAGCTGGCCATCCTTGTGAGTTGACCTGACACCCTTGGTTATAATATGTACATATACATATACAAAGGTATTTAGATCTCCCCTTGATTTCAGCTTTGGTAAGGTGGTATACTGACCGATGTCATTCAGTATCACTAAGAAAAAAAGAAAAAAATGAATATTGACAAGTATAAACCTATATGGTCTGTGGCCAGACCTACTAGGTCAGACCAATAGATACCTGTTTGTATATACTGATGCAACTGAATTTGATTCCTTGCATATTCACACATCCTGATATATGAATGTACACACTTACATGTGTATATATAAATATGTTTTCCATGTTAAATGTTTTCAAATATATCATTTAAATTTCCATGACTCGTAATGTCCTATGTTCTTAGTTTAGTTGACTGTACCGGAACATTCAGACCAAGTTCAAACATGGATGAACATCCACCTATCATATGCTTGATTATCTTCTTGAATAAATTATGGAGGATTGGTTGTTTATGTTCATACAGATATCTTTCAAACTGACAGCTCACATGTTTTGGGCTCTTAGACCTTATCTAAGTGTTCCCTTTTTCTGCGACCGTTGTGCTTTAGGCTTTTATACATTCTAGAGAGGTTACTTCTGAACTCCATCTATTGGCTGCAGGTAGGGTATATATTTATGCTTCCTTGTAAAACTTATCATTGACTAACATCCAGATGTTGCTAGAAAGCACTTTACCTCTTATGATTTGCCTGATGTGGTAGTTAGACAGTCCTGTGAATGAAAAAAACATGTTGTCAGTTCGATTGGGTGAAAGAATTTGATGTAGAACTATTCCAAAAGGTGGGTTAATGTTCACAATAAGTGCCTTTTCCTAAAAGACTTGTGCAGTTCTCTTGTTCTGTATGCATTGAGATGTATGGAAGAGTCACTTGGTCCTTTCATAACAAGGTCTGGATATTACAACCTAGACCGTTCAGCAAGAATAATACTTGGGGCTGAACGGCAACAAATTTGGTAGATTGAAGGCAGATTCAAAATCCAACCAGTCCAGGTTACCACACGATTCCATGCAATTCCACAACAGAAACAAGGCCTGTTGATCTTTTAGATACAACACTGGAACAGAAGAGACTCCTGCCTTGGTACATAAAATCTGCTACAGGATCGAAGAGCATTTTCGGGTATCTACGGAGTTGATGGTCTGTAGAAATACATGCTATGCCTGATTGATAATTTGGTCAATGACAACTTTTCTGAATTCTAGATTCTGTTATAGAAATCAGTCAAACAAAGTATAATTATTTTGACTTGTCTCTTTTGAAAATTCTGTACCTGACATCACCTAGTATCAGTGCCACGTCAATAAACCAGTTGAATTTTAACAACAATGAGCATATGGTTGTAGGTCTATAAAGATTTTACATGTCTTCTTGTTGATTTCTTATAAGGATTACATAATGATACTAATAGTATATTGTTTATAAGTGGTTGATTTTATAGTAAAGGTTGAGCATAGGAAATGGAGTCTTGATATTCACACAATCAGACATTATGAAGCCCAAGTAGGTTTTGGCAAAAGAAAAATTAAACAAGTCTGTAGCATATAGCAAATGGAGTCTTGATATTCACACAATCAGACATTATGAAGCCCAAGTAGGTTTTGGCAAAAAGAAAAATTAAACAAGTCTGTAGCATAATGATAATCTAGGGAGGAGGCTAAAAATAGATGCAGAGTTAACAGCCTGGTTGTAGAATAAATTTAGGTGTTTCTGATAAAATCTTGAATGTGTGACCAATGACCATAACATCATGAGTTTGGTGGTTTTGGGATGACCATAAAAGTGAATGTAAATTGTTGTAGCCTAGTTCTGTTGGCAAAGATTTGAACATGGAAGATCAATCTAGTTTAGCAAACAGGCAGTGAGTTATTATCTTCTCCTTATTGTTCACATCTTCTTTAAAGGTGAAAATAATTCATGGCAATCTTATGACCTCTAGTTATATATTTGAGTGCATTTTCTTTTGAAGAATTTATAGTTAATATGTTTATCTTTGAATTCTTTCCACCTGGAATTTCTCCTGCAGTCTTTAAATTTTGAAATTTAAAATATCAATTTGTGCATTTTCTTTAACCTTTATATGGTTCGATCACATCTGCGTTTGCTACTAAGATATTCCTTATCTGCCTAGTTCTTGAAATCTTTGTGCATGAATTCTAAGTAGCGACATTAACAGGTTCATCGTCTTTAGTTAGAACTAAGTGTCGCTGTACATAATCATCAAGTCCCATAAAGAAACTGCTTGTGATGTATATATGGTCTTTGTCAGGTGCTTAAAGCAAGCCTTCTTTCTATGCAGGTCCAGAACTAGCCGATCCAGATGGGTGAATTTTACTTAAGCAATATTCTATTTCACACTTGTAATATATTATTGCATAAGTGATAGGCCATTTGATGTATTGTTGCATAAGAGATCCGTATAGGTTTTAGTTCGAGTCGACGACATATACGCTATTTGATGTAATGAATTTTTTTAATTTTTAAAATATTTTATTTTATACAAAGGTGTACAAATTATATGGTGTCCAAAAAATAGAACGCTTCTACAGCTAAAATTGTTCGACAAGCAGAATGCGTCATGATGACCATAATATTTGTCTTATCAACGAAGAAAGATGTCAATTGGAGATTAGGGAATAATTGGTGGACGATTCCAAATTAACGTCCTTCACTGAAGTATTGTTAATGGGCTCAACAATCAAAGTTAAATCCAAAGATTAATGGGCTTGTTATTGTTATTATTATTATTATTATTATTATTATTATTATTATATTGATGTATGTTTAATATTTTTATTTTTATTAAAAAAATATGTTTAGAGATTAATTATAAAAAATGTTTATTGGAGCCTTGTGAATATATATATATATATATATATATATATATATATATATATATATATATATATATATATATAATTCATAAAGATAAATATGAATAACGTTATTTGCATTTAATTGATGCATACGATTTTGCCACCCAATTAAAGTCAACCCTAACATGGCATCGTCTTTTAGTTGTTTACGGACCGGATACGATACATGTTCTTTCTAAACGCCAATCTGACGTATATTTATATTTGTAGTTGATTCCAGAATAATAGAGCTGCTTGATCGACCGATCGGGACCGTTGGATGGACGATGGGCCTCATTTTTATACCGGCCTTTTAGTTTTCCTCTCCTCCTCCCCGCAGGTGGTTGCGGCGCCGAATACTTTTGGAGCACAAAGAACCTTCCCACTTTTCATCTCTCGTCCCATCTTCTGGCATCGAAATTCCTTCTTTGGGCGCAAAGCTGCTGCGGATCGGTCAATCATCGAGGAACCCTATCTCAATTTTCTTGATTTCTTTTTCTTCGATCGGTTCAGGTCTAGGGTTTCTGTTGGTTTCTTGTTTTATGTGCTGCGGGTTGGTGTTGATCTGGAAATTTTCTTGTACGCATGAGTTCCCTTTCATCGTCCGATGGCGCATTGTTCCAAACCCCCACTTGCTTTTGATTCGAATTCGTTTCTTCTCTTCTTATTGATCTGATTCTTGGTGGAGTCCTATCGATGGTTGCTTTGTCGTCGCAGATTGAGCTGCTGAGCCGTCTTCGTCAATGGCGCTTGGACGCCTCCTTCAAAGGGCTTCGATCAACCAGATTTCCGGCAGGATTTTTCCTGCTTTTGAAAGATCTTTCTCCGCTGCTGCTTCCCCCAGCGAACCCATCCGTGCCACTCTCTTCCCCGGTGATGGAATTGGGCCTGAGATCGCAGAATCTGTTAAGCATGTCTGTTTCTATGAAGCTTGCCATTCCTTTTCTTCTGTTGGCTTCACGTTTTGGACCGTATGCTTTAATTCTACGTTATTTATAATCTCACATTTTTCGAGCATTACTTGATTTATATTTTTTACATCTATTTTACTTTGTCTACGCTAAATTGATAAGTTGTATTGCGTTTAGTTAAGTTGGCATTGTTTCCCTTCCAAATTGATTGGGTGGAAACAAAAACAAGGAACACCACAACAGTTCTTTTTTTTCGGATGCTATGCAGAGTATCTTTTTTTTTTCTTTCTTTTAATGTAATTTTAAAAGCAATATTTCCTGTTGAAAGAGGTGTAGGTTCCAATGTATATAATTAAGCTGGAAATGAGTGTATGTCACTTTTACAACCACATGAAGATCCAGAAATGGTGGTAGCATAAGTATGGATATTGAGTTGGATGCTTGGATATGTATGTTTTATGCTTGAATTTGTCTGTTACATGAAATGTTATTTTTAGTGACTTGGGGTGATTACTTTACCGAAGTATACGATACATTGGCTAATTGAATTAACTGAAATTGTAATAAGTAATATGTACATATAATTTGTCTAACAAGAACTATAAATCTTTTTTGTGTCAGATATTCCAATATGACACAAACTGTATTAGCCTTTCTGACACTATGCTTCTGTTGAGTTTTAAACTTTTATTTTTGTGAATTTTGATTATTAAACTTTTTTGTTTTGATTACAAAATAGAGAAAAATATTATAAATCTAATGAAAAAGATATATCTTCAAGATATGATTCTGTTGGTGGAGGATACGAAGAAATTACACTTTCCAAATTTTCATTTATCATTTCCTTATTTTTCTTAATTTCTTGAGCATGTTTTGCAAATTCTTTCTTAATGTCAATACTGAAAACCAAGAATAGATGCTTGAGCATACTGAGGTGCAATGATTTTAGTGTCAATACTTATTTGGTTGATTATTAAAGAATAAGTTGAAGATATTCCACATGTATAATGTTGCTAGAGCTATTGGAAGACAAGTAAGAAGTTATCAATGTACACATTTGATCTGGTTCTCTCCCAGACTGTTATTTATCTTCATTCGCAAATCTGGCCATGACATGCCTGAGTGTAAAATCATAATCGAGCATAGATGATGCTCAATATAGGGAACCATAAATATGGCCTAGGAACAGAAATCGCAACAAGTATAACTTTCTCAAGGATTGGCAATATTGTGAATTATTGGAGCCATATTAGAATATTCCATTTACAATCTTTTGGTTATATTTGTGAGCTAGGTGAAAAGTGAAGGAAGCCTAAAGGAGGGAATATGTGGGTAAAGAGTCTAAGAATTCGTATGTTCTGCAATCACCAGCCTTAGATGTGTTTCATAGTAAATTCATTTTGTTTTTAAGGGTTTGCTCATATTTTGGTGAAGAAATTTTGCTTATTTGGATGTCTTGATGGACCTCCAAATCCCGTATACTTTGAAGCTTGTTGGAATTGCCAAGGTAACGTGGAACAAGCAAAAGAAGACTATTTTCAAAGAGCCTAAAGTTGCCCACTTATCACTTTTATTTTTCTTTTAATTATCCTACATTGTCAATTTTTATGTTTCTTTCAATTATCCCACATTTTTAGCTATCTGGTTTTTAATGCCTAGAACTAGTATAAATAAAGGCCTCCTCTAAACCTATGGAATCATCAAGAAACAATATCTTCAAGTATTGTAAAGGTTTTCTGTACTAGAAGGAGATGATTTCTCTCATCCTTCCTTATAAGGTTAGTTTGCTAAAATCCTTTCTAGTAGTATTTTTTTTTATTTTGATTTCGTTCTGCGTCGGTATTAGAGTCTTGCTTTTGATGTTAGCATAATAGGTTTGTAGGTAGGAAATTAAGAAGTATGCTCTACACTTGCCACTTATAGTGGATTTTATGTATCAGAAACTTAATTTGCTAAGTGTAACCCTATAGCCCATCAAGATGAGGTCTAGTGGCAATAATGGTAACAACGATGACAGCATTATCGATGATGACAATGGAAATTTCGACAATGACGACCTTCGTGATGGAAGCAATGGCAACAACCCTAACAATAATGATCGGGGAATGCGAGCCCTCTGGGCGACGTTAAAAGCACAAGAAGCAAGGATGACCCGGGAACTTTTAGAGATTTGTGACATGCTCACTAACTTGGGTTTTGGTGCCAACAGAAGTTCGTGATGATGGTAGGATCAATTGTGCCTGAGTTGATGCTAATGACCATCCTAATCATCAACGGGTCTCCAATCCAACGTAGGCAACCGACCTATGAAGATAAGTTAGACGAAAAAGAAGGAATTGTGGACTATCATAAAACCAACCAATGAAGAGGTGCATGTGCAACTCAATCTCGACACTTCAACCAACGTGGTACTATCCACCCATAACAACTAACAGTATATGATGATGACTCAGAAGATGACAGTGAAAGATATAATAGACATCAAGCATCACCCAGACGAGATAGGATATTTGAGGATTACCACCTCAAAGTAGACCTCAGTTTTAATGGCCACCTCAGCATTGAGGTTTTTCTTGACTGGAGTTATGAACTAGGGGACTTCGAGGTGATGGATGTTCCTGATCAAAAAACAAGTCAAGCTTGTTGTATACAAGATGAAAGGAAGTACAGCAGCTTGGTGGGATACATTACAGAATGACAAAAAAAGGATAAGGAAAGGCACTAGTACAAACATAGCGAAAGGTGAAGCAACTTCTCAAAGGAAGATTCCTACCCTTAGACTATAAACAACTGTTGTTTCAACAGTATCAAAACTGCATCCAAGGCACTCAATTTGGAACCGGGTATATTGATGAATTTTTACGCCTTTCAGCTAGATATAACTTGTCAAAGTCACAAGACCAGCAAACAACAAGGTACGTCAACGGACTGAAATTTGCAATTAAAGATGGAATGTCTCTAACTCCGATTTGAACAGTAGATGAAGCTCACAATATGACATTAAAGGCTGAAATGCTGTTGACTTGACCTCCAATTGCTACCTGGAAATTCTCTACTTTGACGACGCAGCCTATTCTTAACAAAGAAAAGCAAGTTGTGACTAAGTCAATATAACCTACAAATCAAGGCACAAATATTGAAAAAACAATAAGGCAAGCGAAGCATATATCGATTACCACAAACAATCCATATGCTCGACCCTTATTTGGGAAGTGTTTCAAATATGGGGAGCTTGGTCATTGTTCCAACGAGTGTCGTGCTTATAAGACTGTCAACCTTACAGATCACAAAATTGACTTATGAAGAAGATGCCCAAAACGATGCGATTGATGATATTGATAGTGCTGAAATAGCAGAGGAAAAAAGGAACATGTGGCATGTGTTGTAAAAAGATTATTACCTCAAGGCAAGAAGATCCATCTCAGCATAAGAAAATCTTCTATTCTTGATGCAGTGTTAATAACAAAGTCTATGCATTGATCATAGACAATAAAAGCTGTGACAATATTGTATCCAAATCATTAATGAGACACTTAAATTTACAGATGGAAGGTCATCCAACACCATACAAGCTACGGTGTATTAAAGAAGGCCCAACTATCATTGTAACTGAGATCTGTATAGTTCCTCTCTCAATTGGGAAAAGGTATAAGGAGGAAGTTATATGAGATAGTTGACATGGATGTATGCCATGTGCTACTTGGAAGGCTATGGCAGTATAATGTGAATGCAACCCAATTTGGAAGAAAGAATATTTGCGTATTCTAGTATAACGGGAAAAAAATTGGCATTCTACTGACTAACAAAAAGGGAGATGAATCCAACACTTATGAAGTGGAGGGGATGTCTTTCTTATCTATCTTTAACTTTGTGCAAGAATTTATTGCTTGTTCTAAAGAAACAAGAGTATATTATGCTCTTATTGTGAAGGGAGAAGAATTGCCTGAATCAAAGATTCCAAACGAACTAAAATCGATATTGGAAGAATTTAAAGAGATCATCCCTAAAGAATTACCAGATGGACTTCCACCCGTGAGAGATATTCAACACCAAATTGATTTGGCTCGAAGAGCTTGTCTACCAAATTTACCTCGCTATTGGATGAACCCAAAAGAGAATGAGATGCTGAAGGAGATGGTAGAAGAGTTTATGTGGAATGGACATATTCGAGAAAGTATGGGCCCATGCGCTGTATGAGCTTTGTTGACACCTAAAAAAGATGGAAGCTGAAGGATGTGCGTAGATACTAGAGCCATCAACAAAATCAAGGTCAGGTATTCCCATTCCTCAACTAGAAGATGTGTTGGATTAACTACAAGGCTCCAAGATATTCTCAAAGATTGATCTCCGTAGCGGATATTATCAAATTCGCATAAGCTCTGGAGATGAATGGAATACTACATTCAAGACAAGAGAAGGCTCATATGAATGGTTAGTTATGCCTTTTGTTTTGTCCAATCATATCTATGATGATTACTTATTCAAAGGTGACCAGTTGTGCATTCCGAGGATATCCTTATGAGAAAAAATATTCAAAATTTACATAGAGAACTTAGAGACAAAACAATAGCAAGTGTCGAGAAGAGGTACTTTTGGCCACAATTAAAAAAGGATGTTGGTAATTTTGAAGAAAATATTTGACTTGTCAAACTGCAAAAGGGTAGTTGTAGAACACTAGTTTATATATGCCATTACTAGTTCCAGAAGATATTTGGAAGGATTTATCCATGGATTTTGTATTGAGATTGCAAGAACTTAGAGGGGATTTGATTCTGTGTTTGTGGTTGTGGATTGGTTCTCGAAGATGGTCCATTTCAAACCATGTCAGAAGACTCCCGATGTGATATAAATTGCCAAGCTATTCTTTCAAGAAGTCATACGCCTATAAGGGGTACCAAAATCAATCACTTCTGATAGAGATTCTAAATTTCTATATCATTTTTAGCTGATCTTGTGAAAAATATTTGACGCAAGTTTGAAGTTCAGTAGCACAACTGACCCACAAATTGATGGTCAGACAGAGGTAACTAATAGGACTCTGGGAAACTTGATTTGTTGTATTTGTGGTGACAAACCAAGACAATGGGATTTTGCACTCGCATAAGTTGAATTTGCCTATATCAGTGCATAGTTCTATCAAAGCGTCATTATTTTCTGTTGTTTACAAGAAAATGCCAAAGCATGCTTTGGATTTAGTTCACCTATCAAAGACTCCTAGGATTAGTGTAACAACTAACAACATGGCTGAGTAAGTACAATCAACCCAAGCTGAAGTGAAGAAGAAGTTGGAAGTTACTAATGCCAGGTACAAGGAAGCAACTGATAAGCATAGGAGAGAGAAGGTATTCAAGGAAGGAGATATGGTTATGGTGTGCTTGCAAAAGAGAGATTTCCTATAGGCACTTACAACAAATTGAAGCTGAAGAAGTCTGGTCCCTAGAAGGCCTTAAAGAAAATCAATAACAATGCCTATGTGATTGATTTACCAGATAATTGGGGGATCTCATAAACTTTCAATGTTATACATTTGTATTACTACTTTCTAAATGAGAATCCATAGTATCCTGACATAAACTCGAGGGCAAGTTTTTCTTAAGTGGCGGGGATTAATATGGAACAAGCAAAAGAAGACTTTTTTCAAAGAGCCTAAAGTTGCTCACTTATCATTTTTATTTTTTTCAATTATCCCACATTGAAAATTTTTATGTTTCTTTCAATTATCCCACATTGTTTGTTAGCTAGTTTTTAAGACCTAGAACTAGTATAAATAAAAACCTCCTTTAAGCTTATGGAATCATCAAGAAATAATATCTTCAAGTATTGTAAAGGTCTTCTCCACTATAAGGAATTGATTTCTCTAGTCCTCCATTTTAAGGTCAGTTTGCTAGAATCCTTTCTAGTGATATTTTTAATTTTGTTTTCAGTCTGCATCACAAGGTGTGTTTTTCAGAAATATATTGAAATGTCCCTATGCTACAATTAGATGGTGAAGCTAAATAATGTTCCCAACTTTTGTACTTCCTGTCATGAATTCTAGATGGATGAGATCGTCTACATTTCGGGCAGGCAATTGATATGAATTTGATAAAATAGCAATTGATATGATTTGGATCAAAACATGAATTATTGTGATGTTAGTTTCAACCCTTTTGTTGTGAGCATTTCATTTGCAACGTCTTGATGTCAAATAAGATAATTTGGGAGGAAAATGAAAAAGACAATAAATGGAAGAAAGCATGAGTTTGATGCTTAAGTTTCATGACCATTTTCAGTATCGTATTAATAAATTTTGTTAGTACAGGTGTTCAATGCAGCACAAGTTCCAATAGAATGGGAGGAACATTTTGTGGGTGACAAGGTCGATCCTAGAACAGAGAGCTTTTTAACATGGGAAAGTCTGGAATCAGTGCGAAGAAACGGCGTTGGCTTGAAAGGCCCTATGGCTACTCCCATTGGAAAGGGTCACCGGTCACTGAACCTTACCTTGAGGAAAGAACTTGGTCTCTATGCCAATGTTAGACCTTGCTACAGCCTTCCTGGCTATAAAACTCGATATGATGATGTAAATCTTGTGACAATTCGTGAAAATACAGAAGGAGAGTATAGTGGCCTTGAACACCAGGTAAGCCTTTTCTAGGAAATGTGTGTTATTCATTGTCCTTTTTTCGTGGTAAGTTTTGCATATATCGGTTATCTGATGTAGTTTTCTGCACATTACTCCAGGTGGTGAGAGGTGTTGTAGAAAGTCTGAAGATCATTACTCGTCAAGCAAGTTTAAGGGTCGCAGAATATGCTTTCCATTATGCCAAAGCAAATGGCCGCCAGCGAGTGTCTGCCATACACAAGGCCAACATCATGAGGAAGACTGATGGTCTTTTTCTGAAGGTATATCTATACCTAAATACACATATAGTGGTTAAATGTCCTTAATGTATATGCTACAATTTATAAGCTTCATTGTTGATATATCTGCAGTGTTGCCGTGAGGTTGCAGAGAAGTACCCTGAGATAACTTACGAGGAAGTCATCATTGACAACTGTTGTATGATGGTATGTTTTTATTAGGCTTTAAATCTTTGACTGAAATTTTTTATGACCATATCATCAAATCATCACCATCATCTTCCAAGATTTTTTCATCAAATATGTCAGCCAGAGAGCATCATAAAGTCGAGCATATTTCACGGGTAACTTGAGAATTGTGACCAGTTGGTTTACTGACCTTAAACATCTTAGTGCCTAATTTTCAGTAAAGCAATAGGATTTGCCAAAACCTGAAATTTAATCATATCAGTGACTAAACTTACCTTAGTACAATCCTCTCTAATTCTGTGAGTAAAGAGTTCAGAAGTAAAAAATGATGAGTTTGGCTAGTGCTTATCTGGAAATCACATGTTAGCCAACATTCTATTGGTTCAGATCCCTCATGATCCATGTTAGATGTAATAAATATTTAGAGTTAAAAACTTGTGTAATTTTAGTGTAATGCCATATTGTAATTGATGAGCATTTTCCTGCATCAATGTGACAGCTTGTGAAAAATCCTACTCTCTTCGATGTACTGGTGATGCCCAATCTCTATGGAGATATAATCAGTGACCTTTGTGCAGGACTGATTGGAGGGCTGGGCTTAACTCCTAGGTAAATGTGATTTTCTTTTAACAATTTATAATTCACAAGGTAAAATAATTAACTCTATGACCTTTTTATTTCTAGTTGCAACATTGGTGAAGGTGGCATTGCTCTAGCAGAAGCCGTACATGGGTCAGCCCCTGATATAGCTGGAAAGGTAAATGATTTTCTCTATATTCAGTTGTATGCATTCTGTCCTTTAGTGAATCAATCAGAATTCTGAACAACAGATCATATAGCGTGCATTTATTTTCATTAGTTTATTTGATTTGGTTTGTTTATTGTTGGTGTGTATATTTTTGCATGGTAACTCGTAGGTTATTTTTATGCCCTGTTTTGCAGTATGATGCCTTCCTGCTTTTGTTTGATCTGTTTTGGAATTTGTGTGTCCAGAATCTTGCAAACCCCACTGCTCTCCTGCTGAGTTCCGTTATGATGTTGCGCCACTTGAGGCTTACTGACAAATCTGACCAAATCCACAATGCTATACTTAATACCATTTCAGAAGGAAAGTATCGAACGGTTGATCTTGGTGGGAATTCGTCAACTACAGATTTTACAAAGGCAGTATGCGATCATCTTTAGAAAGTTTGTGGCAGCACACCCCGATAACTGGTATACATAGTAATTGCTAGTTTGAGTCGGTTGTAGATTGCCCACACTAGTATATTAAGTTGCAATCACATGAATAA